TTTTTTTTTTTTTTTTGGCACAAGGCAAGTGATTTTATTAAGCTCAAAACTCAACCCCCAACTTGATTCTTCTATTTATTCTGTTTTCTATTTCAAAAAACAAGAATGAGTGAAAAAAACGTTTTTATTTTTTTATTTTTTTAATGGATTGTTTGAGAAATTAGCCAACAGCTTCTTGGAAATTAGGGAAAAATGAAGAAGTTTTATGGCTTCAAGTGCACGCAAAATATTTTGTGCTATTTCTTGAAATTTGATTTTTATTTTCTTTATTTAATATTTTGATATTAATTGTATTTGATTCTATTATGATACATTTATGGATTTCAGACTTTTCTATGATAAATATATTTATACGCGATATATTTCTATAATGTAAATAATTGAACAATAGTTAATAAATGTATCAAATAAAAAAATCTTTTATTCTTTAAATATTATATTATTTATGTTTTCTTCAAGCAAATACTTTTCTAGTACAAATATTATGATAATTCTGTAATTGATTTATGCCCTTTACAAAGTTTACATTGAATTTAGTTTTGTTATTGTAATGTAAATTTATATATAAAAAAATTTCTTCTTGAAACTAAAGGCTTTACAATGTTTCCAGTTTTCAACTCTCATCTTCCCTTTTTAGTTTTCAAATTTTTAGGTTTTTGCTTTAATTTGTGATACCAAATAATACCCAAAGTTTCCAACTTCTATATGATTGAGCTTGCCATCGTTCCTCAATCATTAGGAGTCGGAAACATAAGTTTCAAACAAGGCAATGAAACATATTCCTGTTATGAAGTTGGGGTTAGGTAGGCACAAGGAAAATATTGCAAGAGACGCTGATTTCTGATTTCCAGAACATAGGATTGTGGTGCTTGACAAAGTGACTCCCATGATTGCCAGTCGCTATTGGGAGATGACTCTTGTAGGCGGGATTGACATGTTTGGTTGACACGTTGAGTGTTTCGTTTTATATATATATTTTTCAATCGACCTTTATGGCTTTATCTAAAAGAAAAAAAAAGAAGAAAAAACCGGACCTTTATCTAGTTTTGAATTTTCAAATGTGTGGTGGAAGATGATATCCAGGTACAGCTGGTGAGAAGCGAGAAGTTTATTTTGGATTCTAAAATTTATAGCTACACTAAATATTACAATTTGTAAAAAAATGTTATAATTTTTTATAAGTTAATTTTTTATTTATTTCATTGTAAATCTTATAAAAGTTTTGAATTAATGATTTTGTACGAGCTTTTCGTTTGAGTTTTAATAAAATTAACATATTATTTATATTTTATTTATATTTTTTTATTTA